GCTGACGCTGCTGCTGATGCTGCTGCTCTCGACACTTCGCCTGCTGCAGTTTTGCATTTGAATTCTTTTTCATTTGCATTGCAGTGGCCCCAGCCACCAGCTTATCCACATCCACATCCTCATCCCCATCCTCGAGCTGCTGTTGACTTGTCGCCACTTCGTAATTTTTCAATTGGAATATTTGATTCTTTAATGATTTCCTTCGCCGCAAATACTCATTGTGCTGCAGTTGTTGATTGCACAACAGTTGGCGCAAACTTTGCCCCAGACTCTGGCTACATTGGCCATCGGATGCGGCGTCCACAGCCTGGAGTATGCCATTGATGACCTCCAGGGTGGCATTTATGATAGCGTGATTCGCGGTGTGCTGCGTGCTCAGCAGGTGCAAACAATAATCATAAATTTCAATAATTTGCCGACAGTCGGAGGTCGTTGTCTGCTGCTGTTGCTGCTTCTGGCCGGCCAAGGACTCGGAGTCCTCGTGGCTATCGCCCGGGTAGCCGCGTATGAGCTGTGGCAGCAGGAGGCGCAACAGCCCCAAGGCTCCCAGCACACTGTTCGCTTGCTGATCCGTCAGCAGGAGCTCTGCAAGAAATAATAGGGATAAGTTAGTTAATGGAGGGAAACTTACGGCTGCTGTTGATACAAATTAAAAACGCTCTTCAAACTTTTTGCGCAGCGTGTGCTGGCAATTCCAATTTGCTCAATAAGCAATAAGCGAGCTTCTGGTACAGATACATTTACAGATAGCAATACCAATACCAATACCAATAGGAGATACCTTTACCCGCTTTCTTTGGCGTTTGGCCGGCCAATTGCAGTTCATACTTCTTTCGTGTTCTTGGCAACTTTTCCCTCATATGTTTTGCAACAAATTGCCTCCAATTAAATTTATCTCGTTGAAAACTTTCCATCTGATATTTATAGACTGTGCACACATGCACAGACTTTCCACTACCCACCACCCATCTACTGGGACTGAGTCCTCGACCTCCCGCAGTTCTTGCTCTTGTTGTCTCCGCTTATTTGTCGTTTCATTACGTATACGCCACCAATCACAAAACGCCATGTTGGAAGTTTGTTACTCAATTAGTTTTCATTTTCTTCCTTTGGGGCGCAAAATTGAAAACACTTCTCGCTGGAGAAACTTTTTACATGGCCCTCATGGCAGCCAAGTGACTTTGCTGAGCACAACTTGCGGCCTGTTTCCATGTGTATCAATTAATTGCGGCAGAAGCCGCAAGAACTTTCTGCAAAATTGGCGAGCCCAAAACGGAAAGAGCAGAGGATTGGGGTACTTCATGCTGGGCACGTTCGAGGACTGCAATTAATAGCCACCCGAATAAAGGTGTTTAGTTTGAGGCCTACTTACTGCAAAGTGCAGAGTTAGAATCAAGTTATCCCGAAGTAATCCCAAAGACAAAAATTGTACTAAATGCAGCTACCAAATTGATTACAAATCAAATAAATAAAATAATAATTATCTGAATATATATTTCACATAGTCCAATAAGAATTCAGTTCCAGCTGAATAATAATTAAATTTGCAACTGTCGGACCCTGCAAAAGCCCAAAATGAAAATAATTACTTTGACTTTTTCGACCATGTTACAACATGGACAACCTGGGGGCCATGGACAACGTTTTCAAAGAGATCAGCAGCGGTTTCAGATTATGAATTGGTCATTGTGCCATTTATGCTGCCACACAGTTGACATGGAAAATAATTTGCACTTTTTGTTTAGCTCGGCATCAGTCAGTGGGCAACATAAATTTTGCCAGCTCCCTTTTGCAGTTGCCGGCGTTGTTGGCCTCGTTCGGCTGGCATTTGTTTACAACGTTGATTATCCGCTTTAAAGCTGCACAGGAATGAATATCTGATTCAATTTCGCATGAATTATTGCATGGAAGTGTCCAAGTGCATAAATTTCATTTCGTCTACGGGCGGAGACAAACAAACGGAGATGGCGTGGGTGAGGGCGGCTCTGAGGTCTGGAGTCTGGGGCTTGGCTTCTGGGGTTTGGGATCTAGGTTCCCGGCTCTGAGCTCTGAGTTCTGAGGTCTGAGCACCGTACTTTGTGTCTGTTTGTTGGGGCATGCCAGGAGCATGCCAGAACACAGGCAGCCCAAGTACTATGATGGGTGCCCATAAAAAGAGGCGCCAGACTGTATAAGGATGCGCTGAAGAGTTGCCTGGCATTGTGCCTTTACCGAGAAGTGGCATAAAGTTGACACAGGACTAGAAGACCGGTAGGCGGCTGGGAAAGGAGCAGAGCTAGCAATCGGAGCGGGAGCTGAAGGAGTTGATTTGAAGGTAAACATTTGGACAAGAAAAGAGCAAAGTAAGAGTCAAGTCGAAGCTTAATTTATATGAACTTGGGCGAGGTCAGAATTTTGACTTTCATAAAGGTAGTCCTAGCAAATGAATTAGTTTTCCCAGTCCGGCATATCACTTCAATTGTTTGCAAATGCCAAACAATGTGCTTCTTTGAGTTTAAAACTTAATTTTTTGTTGGACAATGCGACTCATAAAAAGGCGATGGCGAATGTAACTATGGTGCATTTACCTCTTCGTCGAACGTTTGCCAATAATATTTTCATGAAAATTCAATAAAAAATGATTTGTGTTTGCAATTTTTAAGCACTTTCGCATGGCTCGCGTTGCCATGACTTTTGTTTTTGCCGCTGCAGTTATTGCTGCAGTCCGCTAGTCAGCAAATGTTAAAATAAAAACTGCCTTGCTATCGGTGGCTAAAATCAAAACAAATCTCAAAAAAATAGTTGTGTGTATATTTCTGCATTCGATGGCTCGTCCATCGATTGCGCGTGGTAACCAACAGGAATGTAGAAATATAATTTATATCAACTGTCTAGTTACTTTTATTGTGCCACGCCCCCTCAGCGCCCACAGGCCACAGACAAACAAACCCATGGCTGTGATTGCATTCACAATGGGAGTTTGAATAAAACCAAAAACCATCTATCCCCGCGCTCGCGTACTTCGCAGTTCGATGGCTTTATATATTTTGGTAAGGTATTTTTCATGGATTTGCGGCTTTTTAGAATATTAAAAATATTTTTTAACTGCAGAGCCAGCACGGAACTAACTATATTTACATATATGCAGATCTATGTGAGGCTTAGTATTTGCCCGTTACACGCTTTTTAAACACCTCTTTCATTATTGATGTGAATATAAAGAGCGTTCTGTTGGACAGAAAGAGTCGTAGCGAAAGTTCGTTAAATAACTAACAGCGATAACACCGAATAGTGGATTAGTGTATCCAAAACTGGACAAACAATAGGGCAGTTATACATGCGAGGTTATTGTTAAATTTAATGGTGTTATTCTTTGCGAAATAACAATAGAGTTTCAGTGTTTTGTTACAACTGTATCATTCTGATGTATGTAAATAATATTTCTAATCAAAAGCAAAATCCCTTCTTTAACACATCACGAACTACTCATGGCTATCGTTGCTAGTAATGATACTCGGGCAATTCATTTCCTATTTAAGCTGTCTTACCCATCACTTTGTTGACTCCATGTCTGGCCATGAGGCTCCTATTGCGTGCATTCTCAATCAGACTGATGCAATTCTGGGCAGAACAACGACGCTTGACAGCACAATCAGAGCTAATATGGTCCAGAAAAGTCTGCAAAAGCCAACATAAATTTTAATATATAAATAAAATTACTTAGGGATATTGTTGTACCTCGAACAGTTTGCAGGATTCGCTGTCGCTGAGACCCTGTTGTATATGTCGGCTAAAGTGCTTGACGAAGTCGCAGAGAGTCTCCTGGAGCAACGTCTCCTTGCGCTGGGAAATGGTGGTCATGCATTGGAGCAATCTCACGGCATACCACTTGATGTGTTTCTCCTTTATTTGTGGAGCATAGTAAGAGAACAAGTTCAGGCAAATCCTCAAGGACCTGTGCAGAAAGTTATCCTTTTATAAGTTTATTGTTTTAGTTTAAGGATATTTGTTTCCTTACCTCTGGTTACCATTCCGCTTAATTTCACCATACAGATCCATAAGAATGCGACTGACGCGGGTTTTCTCCAGTGACCTCAAGATCTTATTGAGGTTTTCCTCGGCGCTCATCCGGACCACGGAATCCACATCCTCGCAGAACAGCAGCAGGACATTCGTGGCCGTTCCGCAGTGGGCGGCATAGTTGATGTGCCCCGCCAGCGAGGGCGACATGATGCACTCGGCAATCTGCTGGAAGCAGGTGATCTTCTGCTTTTGGCTGTGGGAATTTGAGTTAATTAAGTATTAGTACAGGTATGTGGCATGACGTCATAGCGGATGCACTTATTGCTCAATGCTGAACCAATGTTTTGGGTGGCCAAACCAGTTGGTAGGTTCATTTTAAGGGCAATAAACCCTCCTGAAATCACCTGGGCACCACAATTTAATCAATATTGTTCCGTAATGAGCAACAAACTGTTGCCGGTCTCCACCCCAAAACATTCGATGCAACCGAAAACAATCAAATTTGCCTTGAGTCCCACCTGCATTCTGTATTCCGCAGTTGTTCCACGAAGCCAACGAACTTATCGTAGGCACTGGACCTGGATTTGTCCATTTTCGCGTCCGAAATAACGCTTAAAAACGCTTTTTAAAAATAAACACAGGAAAACATTGCTCTTTTGTTATGATTTCTATCAGCTGTACGGCCAGTGTTACCAGATCGCTCCACTGCTTTGAACCAGAACGATTGCGACCAGCCCTGGTCTCAAAGTTAGATTAAAAATTAAATATTTAAACTTTTAATTAACAGGCTTGAATATGATTCTGTTTATATTAAATCAGAATTAATAACATGAATATACAATCTTAATAAATTGCTGCCCACTGGTTGAAATAAACTGTTATTTCCTGAGTCACAGCATTTACAGTACTGTTATGAGCTGGTAGAAACCAGTAACAGTTCATTGGCGCCAATGTTAACATGATAACATTCATTTCAAAATGTAAATAAATCAACAATTAAATTGAATTTTATTTATTTATTCACTTTTTAATATTATTTATACATAACTGCGTTCACTTTAATATTTACTTAAATAAGAACGTTTTTCACTTGTTCGATGTTCATTTTCTTATGCTTGTTCGTTGTGAAATACTTATGCTCTGCGCATAATATTTCCTGAAATATTTTTTACGTACGTTTTTACGTTTAGGGTAGTTTACATTATTGTATTTAATTATGTTTTACCTTAAAAAACTTAAACCCATACAAAAAATGCTTTAAGCTACTTAATGTTAATAACAAAACCCACCATTGTTTTTGTTCGTTTTTCATTGTGTTTTCTTTTTGTTTAGGCTTGCCCTACGTGTATTCGCGTGAATTATGTAGAAAAAACAATCACAGTCCATTGAAAATATATAAAATTAGTTGTGTTTGTATGTGATAAAGTGCCCGTTTCGGCATCGAGAAAAGGTCTAGTACAGAAGGTTGCAAATAATGGACATCTAGAGCAACGGATTACTGAATTCGTGACACAAAATATTTACAACATTGCATTTAGGAGTACCTAAACCTTACGCTTTAAACTACGAAAGTGCGGAACTTAGCCTAAGGAAAAACGAGTGCCGAGCGGAAAGCTAAGGAAAGCTGCGAATGTGCTTAAATAATTTATGACATTTGGGCAGATACGAGGGGAAGTGAAACTCGGAAGCGGAAGTAAGAAGAAGACCCAAAGTGGGGGGTAAACTAACTAGGACGACAAGGACGACTAATCGTGTTCTAAAGTAGGCATCTATAAGTAGCGTAATATCTGAAGATCCTAGCCGCGCTTGGACCGCAGCACTAGGAGCGTCAGCACCAGGAAGCCCACGATCCAGGACAGCGTGCTCACATAGCCGATGTACACATCCGACTCCAGTATCGCCCAGCCACGTGTGAGGATGGAGCGCAGCGAAGACGTGGCCAGCGTAAGTGGCAGGCACAGTGATATGTATCTGGGTGATAAGAATACTTTAATTTCCATTCACAACAAGTTAATCCTCGCAAGAACTCACCTCAGCACTACGGGCATGCCCTCAATCGGCCAGATCACTCCAGACAGCAGCAGGGTGGGATAGAAGGAGCCCAGCGCCAGCTGGATGGCATTCCTCTCCAGCTCGCACACCGAGGAGATGAGGAAGCCGAAGCACATTCCACACATGCCCTGCAGCAGGGTCAGCACGATCACCCAGAAGAGATCGCCGTTGTTGGTAACACCGAACACCACCAGCATGAAGATCAGCACCAGAGTGGTCTGTCCGCACATCACCACGAACTGGGTGATCACGTGCGAGAAGAGGATCTCGAAGGGCGAGACGCCAGCCACCCAGGAGCGATCCAACAAGCCCTGAAATGAAGTAAGCAAATTTCATTATAATTGTTCCCTAAAATAGATAGATTCTCTCGAATTACCTCAGTGCGCTCAATGATTAAAGCCGATGACGTCAAAGCGACAGCCAAGAAGAATACAATGCTATTAAATATAAGAAAAGGAAAAAAAAAACATTAATGACTCGTCCATTAAATGTATATCTATGAAACCTACGTCAAGATCACGCCAGGTGCCACGAAATCGGTGAACGATGGATTCATGGTGCCGTAGATGGGGTCCCTGAACTGAATGGGCACGTCGCCCAATTTTGGATTGCTGCCGCACTGGCCGAGAAGGCCCATGGCAAAGTCCCTGAAGGCCAGCTGGATGTCCCGATTGAGCATGACGCCGATCTGCTGGTTAGACATGTCCAGCCAGACCTTGACCTCGGAGGAGTCGATCGTCTCGTCGTCGGAGTCACGTCCCAGATTGGCTCGGGCAATAAAAGCGTCCGTGAAGTTCTCGCTGATGTAGACTGCCCCCCAAGCTGTGCCCTTTCTCACTGCTTCTTTGGCATCGTCCAGGTCCTCATAGTATGTTTTAACCACGCTTGTATTCAAATGACTCAGATAACGACATCCCAGGTTCTTGAAGTGGCATCCGTCCTCCCAATAGCAGTTTTCCTGAGAATTAATGTGTTGGAATTGGTTAAAGGTCAAGCGATTTAAGCATTAAAATAGTTGAGCTGGTATTTAATTCAAGTTGCATGATAATTAAGTTTATTATTTTTCTCATATAAAACGCTCTGCTTGATTTTTATATTGTATGGCATCAAATGTTAATAAAATCCCTATGTAACTTTAATAGGTTTTTATGGTTGAGTAGTTTTTAATGAAATGGAAAGTGGTATATACAAATTACTTCAAAAAATCTATAAATTACAGTCGGTATTCAAACTAACAAGCTCTTAATAGCTTGAGTTTCAGTTAATGTTACCTTGAATACTGAGTTAAGTCTTTGAATGTGCGCATATTGTGTGTATAATGTGTATCTTACCCTTACCGTGTCGTTCATCTCTCCGTTGACTATGGCCAGGTTCAGGCCCTGGGGATCTCGTCCGATGGCCAGGCAGAAGAGGATCACCTGCATGACGGGCAGGGCGAAGATGAAGAGCATGACGCCCACGTTGCGCCACATGCGGAGCATGTTCTTGGTGAGCAGAGCGCGGATCTTGCCCTTGGAGGTGATCTTGCACAGGTTGGCATAGCAGTCCTGGCAGCTCTCCTCGTCATTGGGATTATTGTTGCGCCTGGACGGCGGCGGGCTGTAGGGCTCCTGGTTGAGCTGTCGCAAACGATAGATTAAAAATTAACCCTAGCAATCGCAAGGATATTCCAAAACGAACCGTGTAGATGGAGCCATTGCTGTCGTTGATCAGCACCTCCTTGCTCTGGTGGAAGTTGAGGCCCACCACGCCGCCCTCCTGGCTGGAACTCGGCTTGTCCATCTTGCTGCCAAAGGCCATGGCGTGCAACGAGATGTTGTTACTACTCCCGAAAAACCGGTTCAAAACCACAAACAGATGGAGGTGGAACACAGATTGCGAGCATGCGAGTGTCGGATGGAGGAGAGTCATAGTGGAGAGTTCAAAGTGGTGATTAGAGTGGTTGTCGTCGGGTTAGCCACGTGTTGCATGCCAGTCTAGATCCTTACCTGAAGTTCACATGGGTCACATCGCCCTTTTGGCTTTGGATGCGGGACAGCTTAAGGAACACCTCCTCCAGGCTGATGCACTTGTAGATGGAGAGCAGGACACTTGGTGACTCTTCGGCCAGCAGGTGACCCGACCGCATCAGACCGATCTAAAGATAGTTTATTAATTTAAATAAATTAAGCCACGTAATCTCTGAATCCCTTACCGTATGTGCCTGTCGTGCCTCTTCAATATAATGTGTGGTGATGATGACCGTCTTTTGGCCCGCCTTGGTGATGTGCACCAGGTGATTCCAGATGCTCTGACGCAGCAGTGGATCCACACCCACGGTGGGTTCATCCAGGATCAGCAATTCTGGATCGTGCATCAAGGCCACAGCGAAACTCACACGACGCTGCTGACCACCACTGAGATTCTTGACCAGCCGCTTCTCCGAGGGCAGATCCAGGAAGTTGAGCAGGAACTGTAGACGCTCCAGGATCTCCTTGGTCTCCATGCCGAAGATCCAGCCAAAGTACATCATGGTCTCCTGGATGGAGAACTCTCCGTACAGGGCGATCTCCTGGGGCATGTAGCCCACACGTTTTCCGGGAACACCTGATCCCCTAGTGCCGGGCTTGCCGCCCAGCACAAAGATCTCACCGGCGTCCATGTAACGACGACCCACGATGCAGGACAGCAGGGTGGTCTTGCCACATCCGGAGGCTCCCAGAAGACCATAGCTGGGAAGAAAAGAAAAGTAATATTAACTGATTAAAAAGTGCTTATTGAGGACGGAATGTTGAAGTTATAAAATTCTAACATATACCATGCTAAATTCAAACCTTCATTTATTATTTGTAAACACTAAATGAGTATACACAATTATATTGGCTTTTTTTTACATCTTTTTAAAAATACTATTGGAAAGCAGACTTTACTTATTAGCATTTTTATTTTTACTGAAATGTCACATTTTTATACGTTTTTTGACCATTTTACGGGGTTACAAAAGGTCAAGAAGCCAACCATGACAAAGAGGCAAAGAGATTAAATGAAAAGCAAGCAGAAAGAGGGAAAAACATTTAGCCAATTCAGCACGAAAACTGTCGCCACAGTAAACAAGCCTATATATGTAACTGGATAGATATACCAGTATATATGTACGAGTATATATACGATCGTGGCATGTCGGCGGCGATGTCAATGCTAATTCCAGCAGTTCAAGTTGAATTATTTCGAAATGTTTACCTTGAAATGTAAGAAATGCCCGCAGCTATCACAAAATGCGACTCCGCCCCATTTTGGTGTGTTTGGGGAGGGGCTAGTCCCCCATTATTATTATCACCAACATCATCATGATGAACTTGGCGGCTGTGATTATTGTGATTATCGCATTGTTAGTTTGTCGTCTGTTTTCGTTTGGTCTTCGGCCTTTGACAAAAAATATTGCAGCTCGTAGGTCGCACGTTTTGGCCTCTTATTGAATCTATTATTATAATTAGCGTGCTGAGCCATTTAGCGAATTAAACGAGACAAAATCTGATAATATAGCCCCTGGGGATGGAGGAGTGTCTGTCTGGAAGTTGGCCAGCCTTTAAACGACTCCAATCGCTAATGCATTGACTTTGAGAGCCCAAAAGCAGTTCGTTGACTCGCTCAAAGCCGAAAGAGATATATATGACTAATTCGGCGACCTGACCTAGGTCAAAAAGCTGAACGAACCAGGCTGTTAACTGGGTCAAGATTGCTGCACAGACGGCGGAGAATAAAATAAAAAATCCGTTACGACACAGCATTAATTCGCTGAATTAATCACTCAGAATGCCAAAAACAAGAAATAAACAAAATTTAATAATACTGCTCGGGCCGTAACCAATGCCAAAGGCAGCGAAGAAAAAAAAATGAATATACGATTTTTTATTTTTATGGCCCCTAAATGTTTGCCAAAAATTCGTGCGCCGCCATTAAGCACATGTGCCGCGACAAAGATGGCAATAGATCAGTTTGGGGGGTCTCTGAACAAACATCATTATTGCTTTTCAACCATTTGCAATTCTATCAGACGATAATCGATCAATATAGCCGGGCATATTGGTTTTGTTTCGAGAATAACGCAAATAAGCCCGGTGTCTGGCATACAAATAGATTTCGGGATTAATTGGCAAGACGTGTGGACATAGAGCCGCGTCATTGACGTCAGTTGGGAAGCGGCTTAATTGGGATCACTCCACCAGGGGCTTCTCTGCGATCCGAGATCAGGTGAACTTTGCTAACGACCCTCGCTTAGCCGCTAGAATTATCATGCAAAAATGCCGTTTCAATTGCAAGATAGTCGAACAACTAAACCGGTTAGTCCCATATAATAGCCGCAATTAGACGCAAGCGTAACCAAGTGACCTCTGATGTAGACGAAATCGGATCGGAGACCGGTGCAAGTGCAATCAAATCTCAGACACAAGGAAATCGACTAGCATTGCTGCTAATTTCGAATTCGAGTTCAGCCTGCACTAGGTGCTAATTACTTTCGCCGTTTCTATTTTATGAACTCGCTAAATTGAGCTGTCAACATTTCACTTTTATTGATGGATCTCCCGCCCCAGAATCGCGCGAATCGCTCGAATCGCTCTCACTCACATTGTTCCCTTGGGCACGGTCATGTTCAGGTTGTTGAGCACCTGGTTGGCGTTCTTCTTCTTTCCATACGCCTTGAAGGCATGCCGCACGGATACGGCGGCCTGTGTGTTCCGGGGTCCATTGGCCGGAGCACCCCATGCCGCCACGGCATTCGGCTGTGTGCCACCATCGTTGTTTGTGGCCGCCATTGCGGAGTCTGTGGAAATGCTGCAACGAAATCGGGAAATATGAATTAGTTCAAGGTTTCAGGTTAATCGTTTAAAAAAATTATTATTATCATAGTACCTAGAGTAATTAAATTATAATTGTTGAAATACTACAACTAGTATTATTTCTAGAGTTTATTACTACACAGTTAGCAGTTCATTATATTCATATCCAAGCTGAAATCATTTGATACCTATTTCCCAATCGTAGCTTATCGTATGATAATAGAGTGAGTAACCCAAAGGTTACTTATTCAATAGAGCTAAAGATAATTTCAATAAATAAAAACACAAATGGCTGTGTCTAAAAGTAAACAATGAAACAGCAATTTCAATGCATAAATCGTAGGAGAATTTACATTTTAAATGCACTTTGTTATTGAACTTGAAAAAGAATTGAATTGAATTAAGATTAGGTTTATTTAACTTTAGAGATCAATCGCGGAATAACCAATATATTTATAGACTTTCGTATGAATTAAATAAAAGTAAACAAAGTAAGACCTCAGTTTCCATTTCCATACAAGTCGCTAAACTTTGTTAGGCGACCATTCTTTCTGTTTTGTAAGACCATTCTGAGCTATACCTTTTAAGTACGAACATTACGGCAAATCATCAGTGTTAACCATACATTGTAAAGAGTTTTGGCGATACAAAACTGGTTTCATTCGCTAGCTAGAATATTTAATAGTGTTATAATTGGCAGCTTCCTGCTGTCGCATATCAGATATATTCATTTGCATAACGTTTTGCATTTGAACTCGCGTTGAATGTGTGTTATGGGCTTTGTGGGGTATGCTTCAATAGTTCGGCATCTCGGCACCGAAACTATGTCAGCGGCACACATTGCAAAAAAGCATAAAACAGAGCGAAACGGCAAAAAATACAATGGACAAGCTTGGCAACACTTTTCATTTCAATATTTATAGTTGGGCACTCGTCTCTTGAGCAACGCGCTTTTTGGCCACTTGGTCGGCCGAAAAGCTGGAGTCCAGCCGAAGTTAAAGTTAACGTTAAGCTTAAGTCGGATTGCATGCACGAGGTGAGGTAAAGTCGTTGGCCAAATCTGGTTTTGGACCAGCAATGGTTGATTGCCCAACAGCCATCCATCCTCTACCAAGTTGGTTAGCCGTCGAGCAAATATGCAAGCCCACTTTGCAGTTTGCAGTTACCATTTGCATTTGCATTGGCAGAAAATTATGCAATTTCCCATGCAGTTTTTGCACGCGGCACAGACGTGTAAGCAGCCAAAAGAGTCGGCAATTTTGGGTCAAGGTTAGCTGCACTGTTAGTCAGGGAAAGAAAGTTCATAATTGCCTGCAATTAATCACATTCGCACCTTTTAAACATATTTTGACTGCTAGCTATAAATTATTTTTTCGGGTTTTCATATCATTAGCGCTGGCAAACGAGCAAGTCATACCAGAAAACGAGAAGCGAGACAAACAGACCCAAATATAAATAACACGCTGGAGGGGGAAACTAGTTCAAGGTCACTAATTGAGCGCATTCGATTGACGATATTTTGCCTTTTTTCGTTCCCACCGATGTCGCTTTCGAAAACGAAACGATTTGGCCGTCTCGAGTTTTTGCTAATAGATTGCGTTACTTCTCGTTAAGATAAATATTGGATCGGCGGCAAATATTTGCATTTATTATATGGCACGAGATGGGTTGGGATTGGAATTGGGATTGTGTTGCCCAACGGTCGAGTGGCGAACAAACATCCTCAAAAAGCTCCGTTTGCAGGGAAAATTAAGTGGCTATATTATGCGGCCTATCAAATATTAGCATAATGCGCTGACAACATTTGGGGCTGGGCCGCACGAATTCTGAATATCAAACGCATTCAGAAATGCTGCCATGCTGCAATTTCATTCGACCGGTTGACGAAATGTGTTTCAAGTTCGTTGCCTGGGTCTTTCGATTTGCGTACTGTGGTTGGCGCGAAGTTAGTCACAGCCCAAAAGCCAAGAGACAACAGCCAACACTCGCGGGTTGCGTAAATCGGTGCGTCGCTGTGTGTGCCAGTGAACAATGGACAAGGTCAGGCCAGGTAGTTTTTTATAATGACAACAAACCGACATTTTTTCCTCTGCTCCTCACATTTGTGCTTGACATTTATGGCTTGAAGATTTCGGTCCGCCGATGGAGGTGTTTGTTTGTGCTTGTGAATGCTTATTGATAATTTAATTAACTATTAGAGCGCTATTTATGCATGCAGCGATGTGTCCAGCACGGGTCCACTATTTTTTGGGACTCTTATCTGGTGGAGTTTTTCAGAGACGCACCCATCTAAATGGTGGAGCGTGAGAATTGGTTAGGGTCTGTCAACATACTGAGTTATGGGCGGAAAAAACACTTCGCAGCACTAATTTGTATAGCACAACGGACTCGTCATTCCCCTTAACCAGAATCCATCAATAATATTAACTGCACTACTCTGCCATAACTGACACATTTTCCTATTCGCCCTTTGCTCACCGTGCTAAATGCGAACTTTAGAATGTGTAATTGTCGTGGCGAATAGTTTGAAATAAACGCGTGCTGCGAGAGGCAAAGAGCAGAGTGACTCCCACCGAGACGACAGTGAGGTCATCTAAAGATATAGACTAGGAAGTACACAGGGAGGAAAATGGAAAAATCAAATTTAATAATATGAGTATTGATTGCACAGAACTATGAATTCTAAGCCGATCTTCAGTAAGTTGATTGTTATAAATTGATCTAAATGGGCTTCGTTTTTTTTAGTGCCACTTTACATAATGGCCTGAGAGCCTCCATTTCGTGCTTCGATTTCATTGATGATCGAGCCTCCTAATCGTATATAATCATTGAAGGGAGAGGCATTATCAGGGGCACAAATTGTTCCTGGCTCCGATGAGCTGGAGTCTGTCACGCATCGATGCCAGCAAACGACTGCTGCTGAATGCTAAACACGCCGATCCCCGGTGGGTTCTTGGGACTCCAGACTTCAAGGGAATTCCAAGCCTGGCCCGGTACTTATTATTGGCAGGCAAAACACCTCTTAGCCATTTCCATACAAGTAGCTGCCACACGCGGAAGATGGAACTGTCGTGTAATTGCCTTTTGTTGTACTCTTTTTGCACGCGCATATGATTAAGAGCTTCTATTCTTGGGCCAACGAGGAAGCCATTGAACTGACAGACTTGTCATTTGCCAAATAAATCAGCAAACTCCCATGATATACAGACTGAAAATTAAGGCTGGGAGATACCCAGCCAGTGTATCATCTTCACATGAATCGTTTGAGTCCGCAGAAGTGAGTTTAAAACCAAAAGAAGACGAATTCGCAATGGCAGGGAATTATGCAATGAGCCTTTTGGTATTTGACATAATTACAAACTCGTTCGCCCCGCTGAGAAATGCGGTCGCATTTTTCGGCCTAGCTGGCAAATATGCAAAAGCGATTAAAAAATCAGCAAAGGAAACAAAAAATACATATATGAGCTCACAAGTGGGAAAAAAGACAGGCAAAAGGGTGAAGCGCTGGAAAAGTCAAATCGCTGGATTATGCAATGTTGATGGCTCGACAAGTGTTGAAGTCGAGATCGGGCGTTGACAGCAGGAAACTAGATAATGCCGATTCCCCAAATCCCAAACCAATGACTGATGGCCGATTGACTTGCCACCAAGTGGGTCAACATCAGTGGGTCAAAATGGAGAAAGAAAAAAAAAACGAATATAAACCGAAATGATTGCGTTTGTTTCGCACCTTGATTGCTTGATTATAGTCGTAATCTCTGCACGTTTATCCACGAATTTACGAATTTACTTACGTTGATATCAGCATTTTATTTGCTTTTTCTTCGGCGAAGGTGGGTGTTGGTTTGTTGGCTTTTGTTTCGCCTATTGCTTGTTTTTATTTGCCTTTGTCTAAATGCTAGTTACTTTGTTAAGCGTTTACTTTTACTTCGCTGCCGGGCCAATCTTTTGCAATGCCCAAGTGGCTGAGAGGCTGTGCTTTTTATGTGTTTCAGGCACACATTGCTGAAATGTATAAATAATAGTCATGTTTGAGCGTAAATTATTGTTTGATTTATGCACGGGAGACCTGGAGTTTGCAGAGCTTGTATGTGTATCCATCTATTTTTCTTTGCCGGCTTTTGTGTCTTTCACCTGGGCTTTCAATATGGCGAATGCGTCACGTTGTTTATGATCTGCCAAACTTTTGGCCAAGTCATTACCGGTGATGAATGGAAAATCATCAATGATGTTACGCCATAAGTGTCTTAGAATTTGGGAGAAAAGCCTGCTTCTAGATCACTCGAAAAGCAACAATAACCGGTTGATCAAATTCCCCGTTTCAAACGTGATAAAATCAACACCTTGCGGTGTTTACTTCTGTAGTTGTGATAATGGTATAACGCCGTAATGCTGAGTCATTTCTGATGACTGCAGCGATATACGCTCAACATTCATACAGCTGTGAATATGTCTTGGACTAAAAGCGCCGATTCGATATGCGAACGGACCAAAAGCCGCTTAGTTCAGCGCAACAACAACAATTTAAGTAGTAATAACAATAATAATTGAGAGCCCGATAGCAATGTACGCATTTGACATTGGAACTCTGTTGTTTTCGGAGCCACTTGAAGATGTGTTAAGCACCGCAGTTTCAGCTTTCAGCTTTGAAAACAACAGGCGAGTTCTTAGCAATCATTTGCTATTTGCTGATGCCTAGTTTGCATGCCGAGTGCGTTGCCGTTTTTCTATTGCCAAGGTCAAAAGTAGCTGGCATGCAATGGTGATGCTCCGTGAGTTTCCGGTGCAGCGGAAAGTTTTATCTAAGCGCTAACAAGTGCGTCATCCAATGTGCTAAGTGAGAACCCGAAAAAATGGGGGGCAAACATCAGTTACGAGTTAGTCATCTGAAAAACCCATGGACTCGCAATGCATTTAAAAGTTGCTCAATCATGTGGCCAGTTGAGCATAAAAGCATTCAGCCATTTAACCATTTAGCCGTTTAACCAGCTGCAGACAATGCTTGGATGAATTTATTCAACACAATTTAAATTTCAATGGGGCAATCTCAATGCAAGCGCTGAACGACTTTTCAGCAGCTGCAGACAGGAAAAACCATAATTAAAAATTAACGCTTAATGGGGTACGTGTGTGGGCTACAAAAAGACTTTAATTCGGCCTCGAAAATTATAAGAATAAAAACCGAAAAAAATTCACCCCGATGAACACTCAACACCCAACACTTTCGATCTCTAGCGACCAGTTTTCATTTTCTTCGACTGGCTTTTCCGATGACATAATTTCAGGCACGTATGTCTGTGAGTTGGCTTTTCAGCAGAAGTGCAACTGTATGCGACACACTTTCGTGACTGCAACTTCTTCGACGGGCGGGCTTTTGGCCATTTCTGCAAATGGCGAGCCAAACCAGTTAGCAACTGGTTCTGCAACAGGTCTTTAGACTTTTCTGCGGCCCGTGCCCAAAAATAAATAGTCGAGCACTCACCCTCACTCACCCACTGACTAAAACCAAGGCGTTAGATAATCCAGATGGTAGTTTGTAAAACCAACTTGAGTCGGACCTAATCAATTCGCTAGTGGCGTGTGTCGATTGGCAGTTGTTGCTCTACTAAAACCAGTCTGAAGTCTGATTCCTGCAAAAACTCGAAAGAGAATGTACCGATTGCCTCAATTAATATTTAATTTTCTCAATTGTTGTGTATGTCTCATAGTTGCACAATCACATACAGACAAATTGGAGTTCAGCAGGGGTCACGTGAACCCCGACAAGTGTTGGGCTTGCCATGGAATATTTTTCACCCCTTTTGAATTTATAATGTCCACGAGGCTGAATTACAGATGTACCTTTAAGGTCTACACAGCTGTAAGGCCAATTGAGAAATCAATATGACGAACTGTCCTACCGATTTAATCTCAAGCCGATCATTAAATATCTTACTTGACTTTATTGAGCAATTAGGGTCTGTTGATCGGTTATTAAGTGACCGGCGTCATGGGACACAGCACAGCATTAAGTCCAGTTTAAGAACAATTTGATTCTGATTTGTTATGCAGCTCAGGGCAATCATTCAGGGGGAAGTATTAGCCGATCGCTTAAAATCGGTTAGAGCAATGCAAATTGTGTGCAATTAGTCTAACAATCCCCATAATCATATCGGAACGGATCCGATTGCTAAGCGAATTTTCTCGAGTTCTGCCGGCTATTTATATAAGCTTTTATCTTAATAGCTCAGCGCCGCTGCCTTGGTATTAATTAAGTGTCGCACCGTTTTACGGCTTAATAATGATGCCTATACCTCTGGATATCTAGACACAGCCTCAGTCAACTTCACTCTGTTGCCGAGTGGATTGGATCGCAGGCACCTTGAACTCTGCTCGAGGCATAGCCGCGACGTGATAAACAGAGAATAAGAGGCCCCGAAAATGCTCACAGACCGAAAGAAAGAAAGACAGATACTGGAAAATAAAAAAAAAAACCCAAGTCGAAAATACCAGTTCAAGTTTAAACTTTAAATGCTGCACAGCTCGGAAATGCACATGTGGAGAGAGAGGGGCTAAGCCTTGACAACTAATTTCAGGGCCTTTGCCGAAGGTCTCTGGGTGCACAAAATACGACGATGAATGCAGTTTATTGTAAGATAAAATTGTTATTATTATGACGCTTTGCAACTTGTGCAATGAAAATGCAAAAAGTCACAGAACTTAATTGCGCTGAACTTTGCTCGAATTGCAATTTGCAATATCCAGGGAAAAAGTGGCTATGTGCTTGTAGTTGACCTCTTCCCATTTTAGTGGTGGGCGTCACCTAAAGCCGCTAATTTGTTTATGACACGGGGCGGACCAGCTGGAATGCGCTGATCTCAGGCAAATACTGAGAATCAAAGAGCTTTTAGCTAAATACTTATGGCAGTCGTAGGTCAGAAACGTGTTTTTTACTGCTCGAGGAAAGTGCTTGAAGTCCGGCACTAGAACCAGAAAAATTCCACTGCAACAATAATCCAGGCAGATATTGTTACCGGGACTTCTGCACTCTGCCATATAGCCAATCATTAAAAACAACATTACGCAAAGTGCTATGGCGATAATATTCATGTACAATGGCTGCATGAATGACACATCGGTGCGATGTGAAATGCAGTTAATGACCGAAATAATGACCACATTTTCCACATTTTTTTATGCAATTCACATCCATCACAGGCAAAATGTGTGGCAACATCGCGATGGAGTTGCCGTCGACGGATTGGTAATATCAGAGTGGGCATATTCTAACAACGTTTTTGGGAGGGAGACGATGACGACCACTCCACCCATTATTTGTATGCCAAACGCGGAGCACACGCGTTGGAACATTTTGAGCGGAGAGGGCAACGCGGGCGGAGACATCCACTTTGTTATTGATGATGTGGATCTCAATGATGATGATTATGATGATTGTGGAAGTTCGCAAACAAAGTAATTGACGACAAAGCAGCAGAGGGGCCATTTGTTTTTGTAAAGAATAAGCTGTGGTTCGCTTAAATATCATACTGAATGCCTTTTGGGCGATTTCCTGAAACGTGTGTCGATGTCGGCACTGTTGGCCATTCAAGCTCGGCAAATTCCAAAAAGTCCCAGTTTGTTTGATGAGCAAATTTACACTTACAATGCGCGTTCTAGTTGGCCTGGGAGCAAATATGTTTGCACACAATTTCAGTCGTTTCGCTGGTTTCGTTTTATAATCCACTTCTCGCCAAACGAAAGACTTAGGACACGAACGCGATCGCTTGGGATCTCGATCGCCGATTGATGGGATCTGTCGACGTTCCACGGGGGTTCACACAAAAAACGACGAGCGGACCGAGGGAGCGTATAACCGGAGCACTTGCGTTGCGTTGAAAGGTTCGGCCAAGACTGACTTTGAGTCGCTGGCCAAAAGGCGGACTGAGCCGAGCTGAGTTGATTTAAGCTGATGCTGAGGCGCTGTCGCTGCCGCTGCGTCGACGTCGGCGCTGCTGGCTTTGCACTTTACACTTTGTCAATGGAAGCGACAGAGATGGAGGCAGCGCAAGAGCGAGTGCGACAGAGAGGGAGCGAGCGAGCGGTAGGCGAGCGGACTGCGATTGCACTTTTGCACGTGCGTTTCAAGCGCGACTTTAAACGCGTCTAGTTGTTGGACCTGCGAGTGACTGACTGTCTAAGTGCCTGAGTCTCGACTGAAAAGCTAAAGCTTAAGCGATAGCAGACCGCAAAACACCTGCGCCTCAAAACCACTCGAAAAGCCACTCGCTTTTGAGCGGTTTGGTGGCAAGTTAGCGGCGAATGAGCTCGTCGCGTCCAGCAAAACAAGTGAACGAGTGGCAAGTTTGTTGGCTTCGCTCCTGGCGGCGGTTCACCTTCTCTGAAAAAGGGCCCCGGTTTTTGGGTTTTTTACGTCGTTGTAGTGACGTTACATGTACATACCACTTATGCAATCCACGAACGACCTTGGCTATCTTCTTCTTCGGCCAGAATTGCAAAAGCCCAGTGGGCCGCTCACCCATTCACTGCAGCTCTCTTTTTTTTTAGATCATTTAATGGCTTCATTTGGCCGTAATTGCAATCGCAATCCCATTAAAATTCCCATGTCTTTTTTTTAATTAGGGCTGCTACTGCTTTTCTTTGCACAAGTAACTAACAATCCAACTGGAGCAAAGTTCGCCGCTAATAGATCAAATGGGCCATGGAGAGATATACATTTTTGCAGCTGCTCAAGGCGAAATTAAATGCCTTAATTACTATAATTGCTATGCCAAAGAATGCTTTTGGTGGCTGAGTGATGGACAGACAGGCAGCCAAGCCGCAAAATCAATAAACATGTCTATATTAAAATTTTGTTGTTTGCCTATTGCACAATTTCAATGTCATCCAAGAAAAAAAAAAACCGAAAAAATTAACAAGCCGGCGTTAAGGGCGTGACTAAGGGCGTTTGTCGTGTGTTAGGGAAAAACGAAGCCACAAGAAAGAAACAAGAAAATATCCAAACAGACTAAACTGTCCACTTTTGCGCAATGTTGACATTGAAAATGCACAGCCAACTTGGCGATGTGGGTGTTTCTGGCCAAAAGAGTGCCATCGAATCGGGTGTTGTAACAAATCGCGTTCGAACATCTTAAGCAGGTGGTCAATGGTCAATGGACAGCAACCCAATAGCAATGGACAGCATGTTGGGCTTCAATTTTTTTTTTGGAGCTTTAAATTTTTTCTTTTGCTATTAAACGGCAATTAACTGGCAAGGTCGCCTGCTGTACATTATAATATCTGCCCGTCATGCATTCCTGGTATCTAAAACAGCGTCTTATCAAGCTAATAAATCGATATTTAATAGGGCTGTGTGATTTTTTCCTTACATATTACTCATACGCCAGATGGAACCGGCAGTCGAATTTAATGAATCGCATAAAACCGATTTCGCGGCTGACTGATGGGCCTGTAAACATCCTCGTAGTCGCTGCAATGGATATTAGTGTAGTGTAAAAAACAAGCAATTCAGACTTGTTTCAGGGGATATCAAGAAATAAATAAACGAAGTGCGTCGCTGTCGCACTTGACATGGTTTTTGGAATATACGACGCGCAACGTGCTAATGAGCCCTGAAAACACTGTTCCTCAGCCCTCATTCATCATTAAATTGGAATATGAGGCAATAGTCTTATAGCGGTTATGATTCACTCCGCTCATCCACATCTTGTTTCCATTTCCATGTAATTTACAATAAGTAAAAAGCCAGGTCATGGTATACTAATTTGTGCAGTGGAAGTCGTGTGAAGCCTTCAATATTTTGGCTCTTACAAGTTGCAAATTTCGTAACTGTTGTTTTAGTTTCAACTAATGGGTAGCGCCCACACAAGTATAACTGAGCCAACACAGTTTGCCATCAAGACGAAATCCAAAACTAAGCTTGCAATTTTCTAAGTTGGCTTTTTGTCTTTCTTTGTCTTTGGAAGTTTCTTTTTTTGACCAGTCATGCTGTACAAGCAACAACAACACCTTGGACAAGTTTGTTGACTTCGGCTTGGGAAAACGAGAACAACAACAAATGGTAACTGCGAAAATAGCAATAAAGTTATTAAAGAAATTGGTTGACAAACGTTTTCGGGTTTTGCCATTGCATCAATACTACACTCGACAGCTTCACTTACAATTTCGGCCTTTTGTCTTGCGATGTGCACATTTCAAATCCACATTTATAGCCCTCCATTCCCAGTCTTAGTCCCCATTCATTTCGGTTTAGTTTCTTCTTTCCCTCCGTTTTTCGGTTTATCTCTCTGTTTTTATGCTGCTGTGAAAATGGGCACAAGGTCGTCAGTTTGGAGAGGAGGAAGTTTGCTGGGAAGCTGGCGGAGCAAAGAGGCCAAATTCCAGACCGACTGCAGAAGCCTCAGCCTGGCTTTAAATTAATTGCATCCAGCCACGAGACGACGGTGTCGGCAAACTAAAGTCCATAAAACGGATTGCACTTAATGATAAAATTTCCCTTTCGCTCAAAACTCGTTTTTGTTCGCTCACTCAGACTGTGTCCTAACCCCCTGTGAATCACAGAAGATTTAATACAAGAAAGAGGAATTCATAAAGCGTGCTGAAAAAAAGATCTTAGCGCAAAATTAATGGTAACTCTTTGAGCGAGCAATGTAATTAATTTGTATCTTCCTGTTCCTGTTCAACCATAGGCAACAATTGACCTCAAGTAAATTGCAACTTTAAAAGCCATCAGATCAATTAAGTTTCATTCAACTTTATAAAATTGTTGTGTGCAAATCTTTCCAAGATATTCAAGATTGTTCTCCGATTTTGCTCACTGCAACTCAGAGCAATGGAGTGGAAAGCGCCAGCTGCCGCCAAGCTTTTCAGCACTCAAAGTAGTTTCTTTCGCGGCTTGCCAAATATTATGCAATTTCTACAGCTCGGAGCTGAGGCTCGACTAGTTTGCCATATTTTCGAGTGGCCACATGCAAAGCAAAAGAGCTGCTAATGTAACAGACAAATTAATTACAATTAGGGGCTGTGGCCCATTGGTTTTGCTGCAATTACTTGGTTAACTTCGAATCACTAAGAAGAAGCTGAATAGTAAAGTGTATCTGACTCGACTCGTCTTCAGCTGGTATAATTTGTGAAGATTTTGGCCAAAGCTATCAAAAAAGAAAAAATAATACCCGCCCCAAATGTGTCAAGGTCTTTTGTAAACTACCAAATGAGCAAAAGAAACAAGCCACATAAAATCAAATCAAATGGAAACCGAGAGCTGGTTGAGCGATTTGGGACTGAGCTCTATTTTTCGAATATATATTTATAATTATCGGAGGGAAAACATTTTGGCATACAATGCACGGCATTTGAGTCAGATTTTTGCCAAGTTGATTGGCCGCGTTGTGCAAATTTTTTGTTGTCTGTTTGACCATATTTTGTGGCAATTAGCAGGCTGGCCAAATTTTTTGCTAATGCTATGAGCAAATATGCTGAAATAGTTGCTATAAGACAATGCATGTTGCTTCTTGCAGTGAAAGTACCTTAAATATATTGCCGAAATTTCAGAGAAAAACACGATCATAGCAACGTCATTGTTTCGTGGAAACGACGGCCGAACAAAAGCCCTAAGAACAAGCGAAAATTTATGGGACCGTCTTTATTCAGGATAATTATATTGAGCCTACGTGATATGGCTGATATACATTAAAATTTAGCTCACACTTTACAATTCCGAATTGTGTTCTTCAGTTTATCAAAAGGTGGTAGGTTACTCAGAACTTTTAAAGCCAGTGACACTTGCACACCGCGGAAATAAATCTTCAATTGCTAAAGTTCTTATGACAGGCGTGTGCTTTTTTTCAAATTAAGATGACTTGGGTATTTCCTTTAAGATCTGTGGCCTTACAGGCCAAACGACTGTCTCCACAATGAGTGGGATAGAAATTAAGCATAATATACCTTAATGGCTAGAAAACAAAGTTCAACATAGCTTGTAGACGTTCTGTCTGAAAATGTACGTATAGAACATGGCGAAAATAGTTACTAATGTACCACAAAAGATGGTTTAAAATACATCTGCTCTACGACCTTTGAAGTTGATTACTGGAGATCAACGAGCCTGTACATTCTCAGATTCAGTAGGTATAATCGTGTGACTGAGCAATCAAATGGTTATTGAGCTTTAGTTTTTTGTCTCGGCTAATGTCATTTATTAGACGACGCTGACGATTTTAAATTACTTTGAAGCTTTTGGTTTGAGCTTGAGTTTTATACCATTTTGCTACGACAATAAATTCAATAAAAAGCTTAAGAGTAAGCGGGCTTTTGGGAGCCAAGCCAAGTTTAATGTATGACGAAAAAAAGTGGTAGCTATAAGATTCATCAAAGCTCATATCGAAGCTTTTTACACTAAGCTGCACATTTTGGGTTCAACGTATAAAAAACAAAAACCATCAAATGTTAGGCTTAGCTGTTACAAATACATAGTATATATAGATACTAAATTTGAAACGAATAAACTTCCTTCTTAAGTAAGCGATAAAAAATAATTTTAATTGCTTCATAAAATAACTGCGCAGATTACAGATAGCTATCATTCATTGCATATGGTTTTGCAATTCCAATTGAATATTCAGCCATTAGAATTTTTATTTTAGCGCGTGCTAAAACTGTTTTAAACGTATGAGGGCGTGCTTGGGTTGCAAATCATCACCCATAATCGTTCATAACAACAATTAACGACACGCCAGGAGCGACATTTATAAGTAAAACATGTTGACAGACAAAAAAAAAGGCAGACAGAAATCGGAGTAATTTCCCAATACTTCGATGCCACTCACAGCTGAACTAGTTCATGCGGAAGTGACGTAGCTGATCGTAAGGTGGATAGATGTTGTATAATGAAGGCCAACACAACAGAAACACCGTTAAAGGCAACAAACAATCTCATTTCGACCATCGATACGGCGGTTATAGACCCGACCTAAAGCCGCATTCGAATGCTAATGATATGATTATGTTTGACATATAACGTGGTACATGGGCGTTGTCTTAAAAAGGGAGCTATTATATTAAGTACACATTCATTTATAAATATTATCAAAACAAAATTCTTTGTAGAGCACTTTTAAATTCATATTATAAATTTGTACCCTAAATTGATGATATACTTATGTTGCTACGCCCTTGTTTGGCATCGCATGTGCTGCCAATATTATGTCATTCAAAAAGCAAACCAAAGAAGAAACCTAGCATAAATGAATGACCAATTTTATTTGCATAAAGCCGATACTTTCGCAGCGAAACACACCTCCCTTGTACCTGAAGTTGCGTGGAATTATGGCAAAATTATTTTTCACACATTGTGCGAAATCGACCGATTGCCGGATGTGCCACAATCCACTCGGCTGCAAAAATCTCCCGGCTGACGCTGATTGCGGCGATGATGGACGTTAATTTGTACGAAAACTCATTTGTTTGCCATTATTTGTGCGGATTTGTTAGGGAAATTATTGAAATTTGCAATTAGTTATATTAAATGCTAAGTGCTGAAAGCCAGCCAGCCGTTTCCGAGCGAGGCTAAGCAGTCTCTTACTAGAAACCATCGCCCTATAGCTTTAACGACCCTGGGTTCTATTTTTAAGCCTTCAGTTTAGCGTTCAGTGGCTCATCGCAGAGTGTGCCATAACTTGCTACGAATTTGTTACCTTACTACGTATTTATATAATTGCGAATTTCACTCGTCACTTTGTAAAGTGGCCGAAGTTGCTTAGCATGTGAATAAATGCAATTAAAGCCCAACGCTTAATAAGCATGACGTGGAATTTGCGCAGACTATTACGAATTGCAAAATTGGGAATTTGCCAGGCGGCGACAAGCTGGGCTCACGGATTCCTGCCTCCGACTTCGATAATGATCAGCTCCCCAGTGAGTTGTCTGTATTTTCATTTCACCTAGCCACCATCAATCTGCCTTGTGTAATGCATCGAACTCCAGATGTCGAGGGTGTCTATCGAAGTGTCATTCACATTTGGATACCAAATAAATACTTCACAGCTCGCCCAGAAATGAATGTGACTGTATGCGATTTCTTTCAATCGGCTTATTTGAATATTCATTAATCGGCAAATCGGACTGATAAATATGTTTTTCGATCCGGCGTTCTAAATATAAATGACTTAAAACACGTGCTCAGTTGTTATGCAATGTAGAAGTTTAAGCTTTAGCTTTGCAATAAAACATAAATCAATTCAATCGAATCGTAACGAAGATACAATGTTCTTGAGCCGCGACCTCGAAGGAAACCACAATATGTTGTTATTGCTTGGGTAAAATCGAATGACTTCGGCAACGAACTTCAGATGATGATCGGTAGATGGTTCAGTTCCGTTTCGGCGACGGCTCTCGACTCAACGACTTTTTTATGGACCATTAAGAGAACTGTTAAGCCAGCTGTAATGGCTGTGACTCACATGGCACTGGGGTCCGACCAGCTAAAGTGACGCTTTATCCTTTCGAGGTCCATGACGGGCTGCTGCGTCTGCTGTTGGCTCAAGGTTGCCTCTTTCTTCGGCGCCATTTTGCCGTTTCCGAAAGGGATGCACTGGGCACTGGGCACTGGGCAATGTGGTTCAATGGATGATGCGAATAGCAGTTGCACAACTGGTTTGCCTGCCGCAGCTGCCAGTAAATAGTCTTGTTTATTTCGATTTGTTTCTGCACACACACCGATCGGTTTCTCACACTGAAATTCGCGTGCGCCTTCGCACAAAACAAAAGACTTAGGCAGCGAACTAAGACTTCATATTAGGCGCGAGTGAGCGAGCGTTTATTTTGCCTCTTAGCTTTATGCTTTGTCTTGTAACAGCTGTTTTCTGGTTTTCCAACTCAAAACGTGGACTCGAACGACAATCGCGAGGGCGCGGCGACAACAGCGGACTTCGAAAAGAGCGCAGGTAAAACACGTAATTTGATTTATAACAAACGCTTCTTTCTTATAGGGTACACGTAATAAAAGCACGAAGTGATATCGTTTTCTTTGACTATATGGCTATAGCTATAGCTTTGCTGCCGATTTCTACTGCTGCTGCCAAACGCGCCGAAGTCGTGAACGAAACTGAAACCCCAAGACGCGCGCATCAGGCGCAAGAGCTGCCGAAATGCGACAAAAGCTGCAAAACGAGAGAGTTGCCGAGAGATTTGTGTAAAAAAAGAGACCTGAGATCGTGGGCTAGAGAAAGAGAGAGAGATTGTATTTTATACGATGTTGATATAGTTTTTTCACATGGATAAACATGCATGGCTTTAGTCATGCACATGGGGCAGTGAAATATTAAAAATCGAACACACCAAGCCAACGAACTTGTTGAGGGAATGTAAATTTGTTAAATTATTGCAAATGTAATTAGTTAAAATAGCAGGTGCATAGTATAAGCAGTAATACACTATTAACATTTATATTTTCGTGAGACAACAGTTTTTTGGTTGAATTAAAGAGTGCAAACTTTAAATTATATAATTAAATGTTTTGCAGAGTTGCATAGCTATTTGTACTACCTACCCATACTTCCTCCTTCCAGCATTCACAGCACATTAATCAACAAATCTTAGAAAATGTGCTTAATTATAGCCGTAAGAAAATCACATTTTCGCCTAGCTACGGCTACGCCCATAGGTCTTCATTTAACAATTTTTCACGGCGTTTGCTGCGCCTTAATTAAGACATTACACGATACCGTTAAGAGTCCCCCAAAGCGTCTTATGGGTCCTAAATACCAACCTCTTACTGTCGCGTTACGCGCCACTATAAATTATGAACTACACAGCAGAGTGATGAACTTTAAGACGATTATCAAACGGTGGTCGTTTACCCATCAACGGAATGGTATCTTTATGGCAGTAAAATAGCAAGATATGTACTACATAAACGAAACTTAATTAGTAGCGCTAATAAAAAGCGAAGCTAAAGTCATTCGGTGAAAACTTCTCTGCATACAACTTGTATAATTCACACATTTCACGTCAACGTGACAGAGATCAAATTAGAAAACCGCATATTTTTCGACATCTTCATTTAAAATACAGAGGGAATTTCACGCTGCATTATTCAGGCATTAAAACCAATCAAATGCATCAAAACAAAGTCAAAACAAAGCAATTTTTCCCGATCAGAGGTCAGTTTTCAAGTTTCCGACTCAATCGAAGGGGCCAGTGAAAGCGATGGTAAGTGTTGCGCAAATTGCAGCAGAAACTAAATAGCCGGGTCTTAAAATAAAAGCTTATCTAAATATTTATGTCGTTTTCAATAGACCGAATTGGTATGCAAATGGCGGCCAAACTGTCGCCGCATTTCCCAAAATGCAAATGGGCTGCTCTCCTGGTCACAAAAAGTGCTCTTACACTGGCCGCAAAAATCGGAGGATGGGTTACCTCATCGGCAGGCGTCGTTAAATTGCAACAATTACGATGGCGGCGAGTTGTCGGTGTAAATGAAAATCAATGAAGCGGCTAACAAACGAAGAAACGAATCGAGACATCAACGAATGTTTGCCCAAAGAAATGAATGCTAAAAGTGGCGCATGAAAAGAAAGTTTAAAGCACACTTTGTTTGCCGCCTGCTCTTTGATATCATTTCGTTGGCGGTTTTGAATTCGAATTTTTTGTGTGCCGCAGTGTCTGTGAATGGGTAAAACTGCATTTGATAATTACGCGAGTACCTCGGGCTCGGGTGATTCAACAGAGGCGGCGACCACTGGCTCCATCGGCTAGCCTTTCCCGTCGATGCCGGGTAAATAACCAAAATTACAAAACCACTCTACCACCGACTGCGCCAAAGAATTTGTGTCACAAGTTGCACAATGCCCACAGCGCCGACACCAGACTACCGCCGTACACACGGCGTATGAGCAACGAGTTGTGGCCATAGCGAACACATACCGCAACCGCCGAAGAAGTAAAACTGCAATTTGCAAACATTACATAAGCCCCAACCCGCCGACTGGGCGGCCGACCGGCTTGGCAGAGCCGCCTTGACGGAAGTCGGGAAAAACACAGTTCCAGGAGGAAAATCGGTTTTCCAAGTGCATGAAATTAAATGAAAAATTTCGCCACAGACGGGTAAAGTGCGTATAAATTTCAAACATGGTCAACGTCCACCAGCGAAGTATGTAGAGTAAGCCAATAAGTAAATTGGCCAAAAGCAACAATAAAATGTGGTAGTTGGATGTATGCGTCGGAAGTGGAATTCCGTCCGATCGACACCATAGTTTATGGCCACTTAAAAGTCCATTTAATGCGCTTATTTGTAAACAATCTCAAATGAGGTGTAAATGAGGCGCTAGGAAATAATAGTTGAACTGAAATATACATTATCACAGATAATTTACTATACTTAACAATTAACTTAAATTCCCTTTATTTTTTGGAAAATCGTTTTAAATTATAGTTCTTTTTATTCTGAATACATAAAAACATTTTAGTAATCATACAAAGTTAAGTTAGTTATCTTCTAGACTCAGTCGACGGAAAATTTCAATATATGTATCTTAATTTAAACAATTTCCCTTATTTGAATTTCGCGCACTTGTGCATATATTTGTCTCGCTTGCGTATTCAGTCGCTCTTATTCGTTTCTCTTTCTGATAATAGATGGCGCCAGACGATGATGCCTGGCGCCCACTATTGAGAATTCGAAAGTACACATGAGCGACATCTAGACAGAAACTAACAAAACTACAAAGTGTTCCCAATATATTATAGCATAACAAAGCGTGGTGAACTTCTCCGTTGAAGGCATTTAATAATGAATTATATTAGTTAAGCACCATAAATATTATAATATTATAGTCTTTCCGGGTTGCCACAATCTCACCCACTGTCCAGATACTAGAGGGTACTTACCTATCTGTCTAGCTAAAATGCACTATCGTTATCTTGTAATTGGGGTAGGTAGGGTTAGGTATGTAATAAACCCTCTGTTGCTTCAACTACTCGTGTACTCAAAACATTTTCGAAACATACCTACATTCTAGTCATTGCTCAACTAAATTTAATTATTGGCAGACAATTTCCCTTTCCCACGAATTCTGAGAACTCCGACAATCTTCGCAGTTTGTCGCAGGTCACAATTGATAAGAGTCACATGTTACTGATAAGCTTTCACAACAAAGCTCATCTTCGCTTAAGGAAAACTCACTTATGTGTTCAAATACCTTTTAATATTTATGTTAATATGTACATTTAAAAGTACTGATATATACAAATGTAAGGCTAATGATGAAAGTAACTTGATGAATTTAGCAAACACCAGTTAAGTGTGGAGCGTTATTTGTAATAAAAGTGTTCGGCTGGCAGCACACAGTATGTCCACCAGCCCTCGTATTGAGGTTAAGACCCGGATGGCAGGGTATCGCTTGGCAGATCTGGTTTAACGCCTGCTGACTAGGGCTATCAACGTGGTTGTAGGACAGCATCACCCATTTATCTCCGGAGAGATGGCTAACTATTTTGTACATCCACTCTGGCACGGGAATTTGATTATTATTTAACAGGTAAATTGGCATCATGTTGTTATTGGTATTATGTTTTAGTCTATGCACTCCCAGTGCCCCAATGCAAACCTTAAGGACATTGTAAGTACGCGGTATTTGTACGTTATTGATGGTGGGATTATCATAGAGTCCCCTAACCATATTGTTTACCCAAGTCTCGACGGCCTTCCATTTGCCACGATTGACTCCTTGATATTGGGGGATAGCATTCAGATACCTAAAGGTTGACTTCTTAAGCGCTGTGGATATAAAAGCAGAAGCCGGTGTCATGTGGCCACGATCAAATTTACACTGCGGCTGTCCTGCACCCAGGGTAGTAGACAAGCAAGCTTGAGTTGTTCTTCTCTCGTAGGCATTATCAAATTGACCACTTATTTGATCCGACTTCCATTGGGCGTTAATACGTTGAGCGTCTAAGAAGAACGGGTTAACTACGGTGTTAGCCTAGCATTTTACCACTTACTGTTTACGTAGCGATAAGCCTTGTAGATAGAATGTTGGAACGCCAAGCTAGAGACATCAAAACAGTTGCGATACAGTTCCATAAAGCGTCCATTGAAATTAAATCCTACGGCAAACGTAGTACTCGGAAATGGACAAGAAGTATCTTGTACGTTTATCACCACGGGATCGGGTGGTGCACATGCTGGTGACCCTAGCGCTGGACTGAACACACTGTTAAATTGACACTGGAATGCGGTGGGAAGAAGTCCTACATTGCATAGCAGATACACCGTCCTGCCGATTTCCACAATATCACTGCGCTGAATATCATAGACTCCGTTATTGTTGCTTAGGTACACATAATTGGCGCTCAAATGAGCCAAATCGATTAAACAACTAGCTTGAACACTTCCTACAACTTAAGATCGGTTGAACCCCTGATAATAATTAAACATTCGATATATTTACTTACAGAAATACAGACTCAGACAAGTCCACAGATACTTCAGATCGTGCATCATCACAGCTTAAGGTTGCGTTAAGAACTGAGAAGTGTAAAAATCTCAGCGCACGTTCAAGCCACAAGTATTTCTTATCAGTATTTCAAATGATCCATAAGCAAGAGCTCGTAGCGATTGTTAGCAATGTGGGTAAAAAGGCGATCGGTCCATGTTTCAGCCTGTGTGATCTGGCAATAGGTTGATCATATTGGTTGACCCAAACTAAGGTCCTTATGCTCACTTAGGATCAGGCTTAGAGTAATAATAAGATATCGAAGCTCGTGCATCTTCATGGTTTGAGCTTGAAAGACGAACTGAGGATAGCAGTAAAATTGGGCTAAAGAGAAACGTCTGAATGATAAAATAATAAGCTGTGTTACAATCGGATACACAAGCAACGCAATTGAATATCTTATCTTTGTCTACACAGATAATTATTTAATTAATTTAATATAAGGAGCTTATTAGTTCAATGTCATACCAAGTATGAAGAAGTTTGAATTAGCTAAACACACCATAAATAATTAGAATATTATAGTCCATCCAGGTTGCCACAATCTCATCCGCCGTCCAGATACTAGAGGGTACTTACCTATCTGAATCGTTATCTTGAATTGGGGTAGGTACGTTTATTAACCCCTCTGTTGCTTCAACTACTCGTGCAATCAAAACATTTTCGAAACATTCTAGTCATTGCTCAGCTATATTTCATTAATTCCAACAATCTTTGCGGTTTGTTGCAGGTCAAAATTGATAAGAGTCCCATGTTACTGATAAGCCGTCACAATAAAGCGATGAGTAAAATCACGTATGTTTTTAAATTCCTTTTTATATTTACGTTTATATGTGCATTTTTAAGGTACGGGAGGACTATTGACGAAGAATGATGAAAGTAGTTCGACGAATTCAGCAAACACCAGTAAGGTGTGCAGCGTTTTTTGTAATAAACTCGGCCGGCTTGCAGCAGACAGTGTTTCCAGCAGGCCTCTCATTTAGGTTAAGACCCCAATGACAGGGTATCTTTTCGCAGATTATTTTTATTTCTTCGTCACTGGGTCGTATTCTGTCGTTGTAGGTCAGCATCACCCATTTATCTCCGGAGAGATGGCTAACTATCTTGTATATCCACATTGGCACGGGAATTTTGCTATTATCCAACAGGTAAATTGGTATCATGTTGTTATTGGTATTATGTTTTAGTGTATGCACTCCCAGTACCCCAATGCAAACCTTAAGGACATCGTAAGTACGCGGTATTTGTACGTTATTGATGGTGGGATTATCATACATCCCCCTAACCATATTGTTTACCCAAGACTCGACGGTCTTCCATTTGCCACGATTGACTCCTTCATATTGGGGGATAGCATTCAGATACCTAAAGGTTGCCTTCTTAAGCGCTGTGGATATAAAAGCAGAAGCCGGTGTCATGTGGCCACGATCAAATTTACACTGCGGCTGTGCTGCACCCAGGGTAGTAGACAAGCAAGCTTGAGTTGTTCTTCTCTCGTAGGCATTATCAAATTGACCACTTATTTGATCCGACTTCCATTGGGCGTTAATACGTTGAGCGTCTAAGAAGAACGGGTTAACTACGGTGTTAGCCTAGCATTTTACCACTTACTGTTTACGTAGCGATAAGCCTTGTAGATAGAATGTTGGAACGCTAAGTTGGAGATATTAAAACAATTACGATACAGTTCCATAAAGCGTCCATTGAAATTAAATCCTACTGCAAACGTAGTACTCGGAAATGGACAAGAAGTATCTTGTACGTTTATCACCACGGCATCGGGTGGTTCACATGCTAGTGAGCTTAGCGGTTCACTGAATGCATTGTTTATATTGCACTTGGATGCGCTTGAAAGTGTTCCACTGCAAAGCAGATGCACCGAATGACCGATTTCCACAATATCACTGCGCTGAATATCAATGACATTGCTTATGTTGCTTAAGAACAAATAATTGGCGGCCAAATCAGTTGGCTCAATGTGACAACTAGCCCGAACACTTCCTACAACTTAAGATCGATTGAACCTCTGACAATAATAAAACTTTCGATGTATCTACTCACAGAAATACAGGCTCAGACAAGTCCACAGATACTTCAGATCGTGCATCATCACAGCTTAACGTTGCGTTAGGAACTAAGAATTCTAAAAAGCTTAGAGCGCGGGCTACCAAAAGTATTTCCTATCAGCATCATGTCTGCCAAATATTCTTATCTCTTTAATTCGGAAAGTCCCGAAACTTTTCATCAACCCCAGCTATAAGCGATACCCCTAGGTTTGATTCATGCGCAATGATAAGCAAGCCCTCATTAACAACCGATTAACCAGTCAATTAACTTTGAGGCAACAACAAGTCATATGTACTACTGGAAATTTGAACAAAATATCTTACTCTTTTGTAAGTGTGATATTGCGGTGAAAAATGGAAATGGAAAAAATGGAACCAACGTTATTTCCAAAGATCCACTTATTATAAATTTAATTTAATTGTATTCAATACGTACATACAAAGCAAATACACCTAGCAAACACCTGCTAAATTGGGAACGTTTCTTCTGATAAAGTCAATTGGATCGCAGCAAAAGGTGTATCCAGTACCGGTTGGATTCAAAGTTGTGGGGCAGGCAGTAACTTTACAGACTGATGATGGGTCTGGTTCTTGGGTTTCCCACCCATTGTTGGAGGTCAAGATCACGTACTTGTTGCCTGTGGTTAGGCTCCTTATGATTTTGTATGTCCACCTAGGAACGGGATTTTTGTTCGGCGCCAGGTAAACTGAAACTAATTGCTGCTTTCTGTCCAATAGCTGAAGAACATCCAATGACCCTGTGCAGACCTTCAGCACATCCTTTTGTCCTCGAACCCAATTCTCAACGATCTTCCAATTGCTGCGATTAATACTGTAGTACTGGGGAACGACATTCAAGTACTTGTTCGTTTGTCTCAGAATTTTTGGGAAGCTATAGTCGGCGACCGGAGTAAGGTGACCTCGATCGAAGGAGAGACTTTTGGAAGAGGGCACATAAGTTTGTCCAGATCCAAAAAGATACGTAAAACGATTGTAGACACTCCTCTGCTGAAAGGTAGCCTCATCTGCAGGACTTATGATCCCATCCTTATCGAACGCAGTTGGCGGCCTTCCCGAATCTGGATATTTCAATTCAATAGTGCCATTTTGCTAATAAATAAGCTTTGGGCGGTAAAGGAACTTACTCAAATAGGTGGGGTACACCAAGCTGATGGAGAAATATGCCGTCATGGTGGTGGCGTCGTAGCAGTTTCGATAGAGCTCCATGAACGCATTTCCGAACTGGAAACCAACCGAATACATGGTGTGTGGGCACGTAGAACTAACAGTTGGAACCACAGATGGCTGGATTGCCTTTGAGCAGTTTGTGCTGGGCAGCGCTGGAGAGAATTGGCCACTAGTCTGGCAGGTGGAGGTGAACACCTGCGCATTACCATCGCACAGCAAACTTATTTGCTGATTTGGTTGCAATCGATCCGTAAGCAAGAGCTCGTAGCGATTTTGAACAATGTGGGCAAAAAGGCGATCGGTCCATGTTTCAGCCTGTGTGATCTGGCAATAGGACTTGGCATTTCCCACAGCTGCAAGAAATGATTGTCACTTTGGTTGACCCGAACTGAGGTCTTTATGCTCACTCAGAAACAGGCTCAGAGTAATAAGTAGATATCGTAGCTCGTGCATCTTCATGGTTTGAGCTTGAAGGAAGTACTGAAGGTAGCAGAGCAATTGGGTTATTGAGAGACCTCTGAATTCTCTATTGAGAGATAAGAAAATATGCACAAGCAACGCAGTCTTATCTTTAGAACCCCCATTTCACAGCTAATTTCGTAATTTAATTTTGAAGCTTATCAGTTCAAAGTCATACAAAGCTTCAAAGAATTGGCATATTAATCACATTTATTTCGATTTGATTTGTATACTTTTTTTTCGTCTTATTGTATGTTTATTTTTTCAGTACATTTTTCTGCCTGCCTTTGGGCTTTTTATTAAAGATATAATATATCTGGCTAATGATTCAATGCTCGTCAATAAAGTCGATTTTACAGCAGTTTTTTATCAACTGGCTGTTATTAGCCTTACATCATTAATTGAGGCCCAGAGCTTTGTATATGCGGATATAGAACATGGTTTCTGCAGCGTCGTCAAGCAAACTGTTGGCCACTTTCCACTGCATGGCTGCTCCGAGTCAGAGGATCGAGCAAACTCATCGGAGCACGCCCGCATAAACATGACCTGATTGATGTTGGTTTTAGTTGGCCATTTATTTGTTATTTGCACGCCACATGGCAGTCGCAGTCTCTCTGCAGGCAGGACGAAGGACGACGGACGAAGTACCCGGGAGCCAGGACCAAACCGATACCGATAGCAGTAGGGGCCTAATGGATGAGAAGCTGGCTGGGCCGGTACATCTTTAAAGTGCACTCTCGGCTTTCAGTGGAATGGATAAATGCTGCACATTCAATTTGTCACATGCCAGGGTGCCGCATATTTGGACGAAATATTTTCGAATGTGTCAGAAAATTTACAGGGAGCAGTGGGGGGAATCCCCCCTCCCCATAGCGAACATGAATTATGCTTATCCACGTGTTAGGCACAATGGCCAGCCGACCTTCCAGGCGGCATTGCCACAACCTAATATTAATTTGCTGATTTATGGGCGCCCAGGCCACAGCGAGGCAACTATAAATATTAATGAAAATTTAATAAATGCGTCGGACTGAGGGACTTTTTTGTTCGGCATTGTTAGCATGGAGCATTAAAGCCGTAATATGTATGCTGGGTTTGCGGCTTTAAGTGACGAAAATTCAATATTTGCAGCTTTAACAATATCAAGTCATTAAAAATACAAAACACATACACACGATGCAATGGATTAGAGCTAAATGCTGCGAAAAAACTCCAACCAAAACCGACCCCGCAGAAAGGAAACCTCTTCAGAGTAGCCGCAAAAACAAACTGGCAGGCCGGCGAACCAAACTCCGAACTCCAAACTCCGAATCCAGTGGCAGAGGATCCAGGGACTCACAGACGGTCGATACAAAATAGTTAAATATTTTATGCCACTGCTATTTTACGCTTGTAAATCAGAGTCCAAGCCGCAGTCAGACATTCAGACATGCAGACATTCAGCCAGTTAGACAGACGGCTTAGTTCGGTTCAAGCTGGGCAAAACCAAATTTTTGGCATCGGAAAGTAAGCTGAACCAGTTGGACTCTGCCAACCTGGCAGACCGCTTTTGCATATGTCTCCGGGATTGGAAAAGGGATCTGGATTTGGAAAGGGAGTGTGTCTACCTTCCTGGCGTCCAAGAGCTCAGACCTGTTTAATATTAAAATCAAATTCCTCGAGATAAATCTCATTTTGGCAGGCCCAAACAAATATTTGCCCGGCTGTGTGGCATGCAACATTGAATTATTTACCGATCTAATGCAGCAGCCACAAGTTGAAGCAAGATGCACTGTAATAATACGATAAACGCTTGTCCATGGAATGCAGCAAATTAACAGTCATAAATTATATTAATTGCATTGCCAACCGTTTAATAATTTATCAAGCATTTCAGCTTTAGTACATGCCCAATGTGTTTCAGGTGTCGAAAGGCATACAAAGGCATTCAATCTGCACTTAGGGCTAGAGGTCCAGAAAAAACATGCCCCTGGCAGTTTCAGGACTTCGTCCTGGTACAAACAAAACACCATTTGGTCTGTTCTCTTTTTTGCTCCACCTGATAAACCCTCTCCACCTGCTTTGCCATGACCTGTTTAGGTAAAACGGCAGTGCAATACAGGCTGACAGTAAGTTTGTAATGGATATCGATATTTATCAGATAGTTCAGGGTGAGGATGCTACGGCTCCGGTTCCATCAAAGTCGGTACAGTTGGTCCTTCGTGCTGGCTTGCAGCGATTTTAACAAACAAATCAATTTATTTGCCAGATTACAATTTACGTGACTCCGTTACAAATTGCTTTATTTATTTAGCACAGCACAATGAATACACCGGGCGCAGGCGGAGTAGGTGGCTGGTGGTGTTAAGGTCTAGCCTGGACTGAAACAAAATGTTGCCGGGCAAATACATCAATTAGACACACAGAAGCCGACTAATGCAATGACTAATTGAGTACACGATATGCTCACATGCAACGCGGGCTAATCTGGAATTCGAAGCCCTAAGGTTCGAGTGTCGGGCTAAAATAATGGACTAATCCTTGACAGAACACGGTCGCATGAAGTCAGAATGGGCTTCAAAAGGCAGACACTTGTCATGACAGCACCGTATCGCATTCAAAAGTATTAATTAATACAAGCCGAATATAATCTTTTCCAAATGGAAAATATTTCATGACAATGTCAGAACGGATTTGCTATTTTATGTTGTTATTTTGCCGTGGGCCAAAAGCCCTGAAATCAATAAGCGTTGCGCCGCAAACAAACGCCAAACATCTATGAATTCCAATTCATCAAGTTCCCAGCACAACAATTAGGAAAGGGACTATGGGCATTGGAAGATGGACGATGGAAAGCAAAACAAAGGGATTGTGCGGGGATGGAGGCGGGATAAATAATGGAAAATAAAGAGAATCGATCTCATTACTTAGCAACGGCCGGGAGCACAAAGCCGGTTGAAGTGGCTGCAAGTTTAATAACAGCAATGCTCAAAACATAAGCCACAAAGGCGGAAATCTCATAGAAATGTCCAGCGAAGGCAAACAGAACAAAAGTCTGCTGAAAAACCCAAGCCCGAACCCGAAAGCAGAACTCAATCAGGCATAAAACATTAAAAGCTCCCCAAGTAGCAAGAAAGAAGTGGCACAGCAATCGCTCGACAGAAAAGGAAAGCTGGAAAGCTGAAAGGTGGAGATGGAGGTGGAGGTCCTGACCCCCATCTTCCTCGGAAAATAGCTGAGGATGCGGAAAACTGTAGCAGAGGAAGCGGAAACAGTGCAAGTTAAAGTTTGCAGCGAACGGACTCCATCTTTGAATTAGTGAATTTCCGGTGGCAGCAACTGTAACAGCTAGAAATGTTTTTAATTCTGTTTCTATTTGTTTTTTTTTTTATACCCGTTACTCGTAGAGTAAAAGAGTATACTAGATTCGATTAAAAGTATGTAACAGGCAGAAGTAGGCGTTTCTGACCATATAAGGTATATATATTCTTGATCGGGATCAATCTGGCCATGACCGTCTGTTCAAATGAACGCCTCGATCTCAGGAACTACAAAAGCTTCCAGAGACATAGACGCAGCGCAAGTTTAGTTCCATATATTGCCACTCCCACTCTAACGCCCACAAACCGCACAAAACTGCCACGGCCACACTTTTGAAAAATTTTATAATAGTTTTTCACATTTTTATTAGTTATGCAAATTTCTATCGATTGCCGAAAAACTTTTTACTACGCCCAGTCAACCGCCCACAATCCGCCCAAAACTGATGTTATAATTCTGTAGAAATTCAAAAAAATTAAAAAAAGGCTGAAGTTCTGAAGTCTATAACTCAACTTGTCATAATCGGATTTTAAAGTGGCATATCTCTAAATGTTTCCGGAACCATTCTCTAAAAATCTGCATTCAAATGTAAAATTTTATTTTTTTTAATTTTTTTTGTAATTTTTCTGATGTGATGATGTAGAAATTCAAAAATGTGCCAAGACTGAAGTTCTAAAGTCCATAACTCGACTAATCTTAATCGGATTTTGAAGTGGCATACCTCTAAATGTTTCTGGAGCAATTCTCTAAAAATCTGCATTCAAATGTAAAATTTTATTTTTTTTAATTTTTTTTGTAATTTTTCTGATGTGATGATGTTGTAGAAATTCAAAAATATGCCAAGACTGAAGTTCTAAAGTCCATAACTCAATTTATCTTAATCGGATCTTGAAGTGGCATACCTCTAAATGTTTCTGGAGCAATTCTCTAAAAATCTGCATTCAAATGTAAAATTATATTTTTTTAAATTTTTTTTGTTATTTTTCTTATGTGATGATGTAGAAATTCAAAAATGTGCCAAGACTGAAGTTCTAAAGTCCATAACTCGACTAATCTTAATCGGATTTTGAAGTGGCATACCTCTAAATGTTTCTGGAGCAATTCTCTAAAAATCTGCATTCAAATGTAAAATTTTATTTTTTAAAATTTTTTTTTTAATTTTTCTGATGTGATGATGTAGAAATTCAAAAATGTGCCAAGACTGAAGTTCTAAAGTCCATAACTCAACTTATCTTAATCGGATTTTGAAGTGGCATACCTCTAAATGTTTCTGGAGCAATTCTCTAAAAATCTGCATTCAAATGTAAAATTATATTTTTTTAAATTTTTTTTGTTATTTTTCTGATGTGATGATGTAGAAATTCAAAAATGTGCCAAGACTGAAGTTCTGAAGTCCATAACTGAACTTATCTTAATCGGAATTTGAAGGGGCATACCTCTAAATGTTTCTGGAGCAATTCTCTACAAATCTGCATTAAAATTTGCATTCATGTTTTTTTTTAATATTTTTGTAATTTTTCCGCCCCATACTGTTCACGCGTTTGAATTTTTTTAAACAATTTTTACCGATATTCCAGAAAATGTTGAAATTTCTCGCTTGCGCTTTCACTAGCTGAGTAACGGGTATCTGATAGTCGGGGAACTCGACTACAGCGTTCTATCTTGTTTTTTTTTGTATTTTTGTTGCTTCTGTGCTTCTGCAATCTCGGTTGCATTGCAACAATTGTAAA